ATTTATTTATTTATTTTCTGCAAAACTCAACTTCTTTCCACTCAGCCCTTAGCAAACTTAAACAGAGAGGACAAAACCAGAGCATGGAGCCTGATTTGATGACCCTCATACATCCTTCCCAATGGAAGCAATGACATACAAAGGAAAGTATTTACTCTGTTCATGTACAGCGCAGTCCCTTCATCTGCCACTCTTCCTTGGACCTTCCAGTGACAAATCACTGAGTTCACCACTATGAGATGATATGGGCTTCTCTGAGACAGCTCAGGAAAAGTCCTCCCAAAAAGGATTGTTTCCAATTCAGGTTTTATAGTATTTCAGAAAGACAGGTGTCCTGGTGGGTGCTGCTGAGTACTGGCAAGTGCTGGATGCATGACAGTTATCATTTCCACCCATATCTTCCCACCCAGCAAAGTGGACATGCAGGCTCCAGACCTTCTCCCACTCCTCCCAGCATAACCCTCTGTTGTTTCCAGCTTCTGCTACCTTTCAATTTTACTCAGCATGAGGATCCTTCCATCAGACAGTTACTGCTGCAGCCTCACAAATTCGAAAAGATCTGACATCACATGGTATATCGTTCCAATTCCAGTGTTCTGCTTCATTCCAATGGATTACAACACACTTCTCGTTCTTCACATTACTTGGTTCCCCAGTCCTCCAGAACCTGGGACAGACACAGACTTTTTACTCTCAATTGTACTCTACGCACTGTTTCAGGGAAAGGCCACAACAGGATACAGTACTTGAAGAAAGAGAAAAATTACAAATATTGATTCACTGACAGAAGAAGTATCCTTCCTCCCCCTGTGCTAATCCCACTAGCATCAGCCTCCATGTGGAAATCTGTTTTCTAGCCTGCACAATATGGGCACATTCATTCCTGGTGCTGGCAACAACTCGCCACAGCGGACCCTGAGCACCTCACACCCCACAGAGGGTTGTGCCTTCCTCCAGGAGAGTGAAGAAGAAATTCCAGAAGAACAAGTAGCAGTCGTAGCCCCACAGATCTCTCCCAGCACCCCATCTCTTCCACAGCATCAGCCCTGCCCATGCATATGCATGCATATGTGTTGTGGGGAGGTCAGGCAAGGCTGCTACATATATATGGATGTCAGGCAAGGCTGCTGCTCAGCTCTGAAAGGTCCTTCTTCTGGGGGAGAGGCAGTTTCTTCTATGCCTACAGCACCAACAGACAAGTCATAACCAACAACCACGAATCAGCAAGGGATAGACTTGTCTGAACCCGGTGTCCTGTCCAGCCCGCCCCTTCCTCATCTTCTCACAGGGAGTTGTCTCACTTCCCTCTCGCGCACCTGCAACCACCCTCATACCTCTTAGTCTCTTGCACTGCCAGAGGCTACACTAAACATTCTCTGTCCTGAGATACTCACGCAGCTGTCACATTAAAGGGAGTCTGGTCCACCCAGTGCCACTGGCCCACCTTCTGTGCACTCAGACCAATGAAGTAATTGTTTCTTTTTCCATATTTAACATTTTCTTTTATCCACGTCGAGAGGAAAACCTGGAAATCAGGCAGAATGCAATGTCCATGAGGTGCAGGGCTGAGCAGAACAGGGAGACAGAAGCCTCCACGGAGTGGGGCTGGTAGAATAGGGGAGTCAGGGTTGAATGGACCCAGAGAAGACATTCCCCCTCTACTGCAAGGGCAAGGAGGGGCTCTGGAGTCCCCTTCAGGGCCTGGCACTTGCATCCCAGGACTACTGTGTCACCCCTCTCATCCCTACGCTTACCTGCTCTGCTTCTGTCTTGATCACCACCAGGTTGGAGCCCATCCCAGTGCAGTTCTTCTTGCTGTCATTCCAGGACATATAATCTGTTGATATGTAGTAGCAGTTTTTTTGAAAGAACTTCCATTCCTTTGGGCAGCACATCCAGCCCTGTTCTGTGTAGGGAGAGATCAAATGGAGATCAATGCCAAGAATGAGAGATGGTAGTCACGGCAAGGATCCCTATTCTCCATGGAGAATGATCAATTGTTTTCTGTAGGTTTTTCTTTTTTTTTCTCTCTCATCTAAAGTGCTTGACCGAACAAGGATAATTCGCATTTCTTTGGATTGTTGTCAAGTATGATCTGTGAGCTCATCCATAGCAAATCTATAGCAAGTCTGTTAACATTCTCCAGTCTTGCCATGAGAGAACACATTATTCAGCTGATCTGGTTTAACTGCTTCTGTTTGTGTAATCATCCTAAAGTTTTTAGTCACGAGGAACAGGAAATATTGCTTCTCTCCTAACTTGAGTTGCACTGTCTTCTCCTAACTTGAGTTGCACTGTTATTCTTGCTCCATTTTTAAAGTTTCTTCTGTCACTGTATTCTATCCCTTTTGTTCTGTCAGTGTTCACACCCACCCTGCCCTCCTACAACACCACTACCATCACCTTATCCTTCCCTTAAACGCTTAAGCACCTCCTTATTCTCCTCACACGTCTCCTCAGGAGTCTCCCTCCCTTGCATCTGCTACTGCTTGTTGTCAGAGCAGACCCCAACATGTTCAGTATTACTGACCTTTCCTCTGTGGTATTGCTGAGAGACAGAGCCACTCTGTAGCATTCTGTTTCAAGGCCTTCATCTCTCCATGGTTATGGGAGAAGCGAATGACTGGAAAAAAAGGAAAGGAGAAAAGGCAAGATTACCACTTTCTCCCTTCTCTTACATCATCACTGCCTTCAATATTATGTATCCATTTCCCACTAAGAGGTCTCAACATCACCTCTGCTCTGTCTGTCTCTTAATTTCATAAGCAGTAATTGCAATCCTCTAAGGGAAGGAAACAGACATTTCTGCTCCCCCAGAATCCTATAACTGCCTCTAAGGGCTCTTTCACCAACTGGCTCACAAGATCTAGCCAGGATGACCTAGTCAACAAGGCTAGAGAATCATACGACCCACCTGAGCATTTCCAGGTGGATGTAGCCAGGACATGGCCTGTTAACAGTCTGTCACTACTCTCATGAAAAGACCTCAGAGTAAACAGTGGAAGATTTGGGGGACATGTGTTGCAGCCAAATATGACAAAGTCAGATCAGAGAAGACTGAGACCTTGCAGAAAGCCCAAGCAACACTGGATTTCTAAAGATGGGCCTGCTTTGGGCAGGTGTTAGGTTGAAGACTTCTAGAAGTCTCTTCCCATCTAACTCTTTCTATCATTCTAAGAAATAGGGCATGTACAACAGAACCATCTGGCATCACACTGCATTATTCCTAGCTCCTACATACTTGTTGATAAGGACACTTGTTTTTTTGGCCTGAAAGGAAGATTGTGCCAGCTTGCAACTGTAGTATAAACTACCCAATATGTAGGGTGTCAGAAAATATTTTGCTCCTAAAACATACCTTTCAAATATCTCTCCAAGCACAAATGGTGAGATTTGTATCCTTTCTCATGAGAAAATAATCCCAAGGTAAACACTCCCTCCTTGTTGGAAAATTTTCCCTTTTTGCGCAGATTTCTCTGCTTTTCTCCTAACATTGCCCACAAACCTATCTCCCCAGTTTTGGGTAATCAGCATGCATATAACTCACCAAGGAGAGTAACGACAAGCGCTATGCACACCAACAGGAGCAGCAGTGAGATGAGCCATGGGAGCCATGGTGGGTATTTTGGGGTATGATGCTCATGTGTCTTCTTCTCTGGAGGTGCTAAAGTAAAGGTGCCCATCAAACACAACAACGTAGTTAACTCTGCTTCAGTCACTCACATACCAAGGATGTACAACTCAAGAGAGAGTTGCCCTGAGAAATACAATTTCAGATTTGATGTGGAAGTTATATAGTTTGGGAGTAGAGTAGACTTGGTCTCTCTGGTCTCCCAAGAAAATTAGGTTCAGAAGCAACACCCACAGCCTCAGCCCTTTGGTGAACCAGAAATGCCAATTGCTACTGCTTGGGTTGGAGGTCATCACATGGCTCATGTTTCTCTGAGTCAAGGGCTACCACATTACTCTTACTGTGTTACCTGAGACATTTTCACAAGATTTCATGTTGACTTCTCCCCAGAAAACGTTGTATATCTAGTTATTTCTTATCTTTTTGGACTTTCTGGGTACAGAAAGGTAGGTGAAAGCTGATTAAGGGCAGAGTCAAAAAAAAAAA